CCAAGGAAAGAAATTAAAGACACAAGAAAGAAGATGGAAAGACTTTCGGTGTTTAAGGACAGGCAGGATTAGTATCACTAAACCCCACAATAGGCAAAACAGTTCTAAGTTAACATGCTGGAGGTATCACAATACCTGACTAGGTATGGAAATACCATAATGAGCCAGCTGTACCACTCTTCAGTATTTATACTCAAGAATCAAAGTCATCATACAATAGTGATACATACATGCCCACATTTATAGCAACAAAATTCCACAATAGCCACATTATGGAACCAGTCATCAATGGATGAATGGATTAAAGAAAACGTGGTATACATACAAAATGGAGCTTTATTCAACCATAAAGAAAAATGAAATTATGTCATTTGTAGGAAAACAGATGAAACTTGAGAACATTATGTTAAGCAAACTAAGCTAAACTCAGGTCAAGGGTTGTTTTCTCTCGTATGTGGATAGTAGAGAGGAAAAAAGCAAATGGTAGGCAAGATGGATCTCTTGGAAATTAAAAGCAGATCAGTAGAACAGAAGGAAAGGAGGAAAAGGGGAAATACAAGGGAATGATACTGGCCACACTGTTTTATTGTGTATGTAGAAATATGTACCAACAAATCTCACCATTGTGTACAATTATAATGCACCAATAAAAATATGAGGAAAAAAACCCTCAAAATATGATGTAGGTAGATTGAAAAGGATAGGTAACAGCATATCATACAAACATTAATGAAGAACAAAAAACAGAAATGGGTGTATTAATTTAAAACAAAGTAAAACTTCAGAGCAAACACAATTCCTTTAGTCTAATTCTTTTATGGTTTCTATTTCATTGTTGCTCTTCATGTAGTATTTTCCTAATTTCATTTAGTTATCTATTTGCGTTTCATTTTAGCTTACTTAGTTTACAATTCCTTTAGTCTAGGAGTGAGGTTACTTAATATACGAAGCAAAATGCATTGAGTTAAAAGAAGAAATAGCAGAACACAGAAATGTCATATCTATTATTTTAGTTGGGAATTCAACAATACTCCCACTTTCAGGAATGAACAGAATGACTAGATAGAAAGTCAGTGAGGAGACATATATTAAACCACAAGGGGGCAAGTGACATAGAACATTCACCAAGGTAACCAGATCCAGAGTCATAAACCTGAAAACATTAAGGAGAACTAAAAGCATTGTGTTCTCTGGCCATACATAAGAAATCAGTAACAGAAATAAAACAGGAAAACCTCCCAAATACTTGGAAGTTCAACAACAGACTTCTTAATAATTCAAAGGAAACTTATGAGAATATACAAGACTAGGGTGCAGTTGGGAGGGAAATTTAGATCCTAAAATGCTTAGAAAATAAGTTCTTGAACCAATAATCTAAGTTCTTTTTTTCAAGAAACAAGGAAAGGAAAAGCAAGATGAACCCAAAGCAGCAGAACAAAGGGAGAAAAGGGATTAGCAGCTTCCAGTGGTACTGATCCAACTTGGGAGTCAGGCCTGGGGTTTTGGTGGGGACTGCTTGCTTTTCCTCCAATGACTCCACTGCTCAAGAGCCAAGGCCCTCTCATGCTCTGCTTCTTGGCCACTAATTCTCAACAGATGCTACTGTGCTGGATGATGACCCTAACAAGGCTCAGGTATTCAGCAGCATCCTAAGTCTCCTATTTATGAAGAAGTGAGCCAGGAGAAAGATGTAACTTAGCTTCACAAATGTTAGGGTCATGATGAATTCAGAACTCATAGTGTGATTTCCTGTGCTATTGGGAAAAATTGGTCACAGAGCAGGAGGGTGCTCTGGTGATCTATATCAGCTGCTGCTAAGCCAGTCATCAAGCTCTGAACTTTTCTATTACTCCTAAGAAACTGCCTTCCAATCCATTATACTGGAGTCATTTTCTTTGTCCCAGAGTACTGTTCCTACACTTGGGGTACACATGTGGAATAGGTTTGAGGACAGCCAGCCAGTAGCCTAACTGTATGCTCTCCTCAACAGTCTTGGAAATAAGGATTGCCAGGGTGTAGGACTCAATAGATAAATTTAAACAGCTCATATTCCTACTTGGAGGAGAGAGATGAGGAACAGAAAAGGGCAGCAGACAGGAGGCAAAGAGGGTGCAGCAAAGAGAATGGATAGAGAAGGAAGAGGGAGGAATTTAAGGATGTGTGCTTAAGGTCCCCTCGAAAGCTCTGCTACATTCCCTCTGCTGGTTACCGGCTTCTCTCTATAGTTCACAATGCAATTTCCTACACTAAGACATGGTAAACCCAATCCTTCTCTGCCAGGACACATGGTAGGTCACAGAGAAATTATGAATTAGGTGACTTATTGGTACAGGTCAGTACCAAGTCAGTGTGAAGACACTTTGTTGGTGGCTGTGACCATGGAGGCCCTAGGCAGATCTAGCTAATTCTTCATTCCTCAGACTCTCGAAACATGTCCAATCTTAGAAGTCATCTGGGAGCCTTACAGAAATTTCTAGGTCTGAAATCTCACTCAGTTCAGTAGGCCTGGGAGAGAGCCAGATTTTTTTTTTTTTTTTTAATAAGCATTCTGGGTCATGCATAAGGGCATGGATTGGGGTAGTTAGGAAGTACCAATGTGGCCCAAGGTCAAGCCACTCTGAGTTGACTAATTTTGTTTGTAAATATCCCATGTTTTGTAAAAAGAAACTCTCCTGCATTGGACCTAAACATTTATATGTTAATTCAGTACACATGTTTAATGAACTAAGTTTTTTACCTATGCAAGGAAACCCTGGTATTCAACTAAACTGAGTATCTGGGGGCCCATGCCCATGCAAAGGGGGAACTGGTTCCGTGGGCTGCATCTGTCTGCAGGAGGCTCTCTGTTCAGTCCTGGACCCTGTGATCATTCTTCCTCTACTGCTGATAGCCTTTTTTCACTTAATTCAATATACTGTTAAAAACAAAACAAAACAAAACAAACAAACAAAAAACAACTTGACCTTTTTAGGGTCAAGCAGAGCATTCTCTCCTGTGACTCATTCATCATTCCTTTGCTCAAACAGCAGGAGTACTCAAGTGATCTGAACCTGACCACTGGCTGTGCAAGAACGGGGCTCAGCCTATCCAGCTGAGTGCTACTTTTGAGCATGGGCTCTGGTGTGCCTCCCACCAGCTTCTGAGAGCACAAGCTCTTTAACCACTGGGAACTGAATGGAGTGGTCTCTGTTACATCATCTGGATACTCCTGCTGTGCCCTTCCCTCTTGCCCATGGCTCTAAGGTAAACCAGGAATACAGTGCATTCAGGAAAAAACACACATACATTTTACTCTAAGCAGACCAACAGTTTACTTGGATCAGAAATGGCTTGTACCCAGTCAAGAAATACATGGCAATGTGCTAGTGGTACTCCTCCAATTATCAGTTTTATCCAACAATTTAGAGAAATACAGAATTTCAACATTAAGATGATATATACCAAGGAATGGCTGCATTCAAGTTCACAGTTCTTTTTTGAGGAAAAAAGGATGCTAACATTTAAGGTTTAGTTGTTGCACAACTTCCACAACCATGAAAAGAACACTCTTGAGTTCTCCTGCTTGCCCAGACCAAACGAAGCCCCGGCCGAGCCACCAGACCAAGTGTAGTAGTCAACCTACAGAGGTACGATTATCATTTTAAGCCACTGAGTTTTGGGGTAGTTTGTTACATGACAATAGCAAATCACAACCTCAGCCTATTTGTTCCTAAATTTCCAAGGCCAGTGCTGTGCAACAAGAACATATAATTAATTAAACACTGCACTTAACAAATAGTTATTGAGCATATACTGTACTACAGACTGCCCTAAAAACAGGAGATGTGATGTTGATTCAGATGGAAACGATTCTTGTCTTCATGGAGCACATTTTGTTTCAACTGTGATGAATTCTGTTAAAAAAAAAAAACTCTTAGTAACACAGAATGATGGGTGAATTAAACACTATGGTGTCAGTCCAAAGAGAGAGAAAAGATAAAGATAAAGATCCAGGCATATGTGGGGAGTTACTCTGAAGTAACAAAAGTGGCATTACAAATCTGTGGAGAAATAATGAACTAATTAATGAATGATACTGGAAAAAGAAACTTTCCATTTAACAAAAACTAAAACTGGATTCCTACCTCAGACTACACAGACACACAGGAAATCAAAATTCCAGCTGGATTAAAGACAAAAGTATGGAAAATATTACCTTTGTGACTTCTTAAACGAGACCAAGACTCTCAAACCACAAAGGAGATTGATAAGTTTTACTACATAATAATTAAAAACTATAAAAATAATACTACTCTAAATAAAGTTAAGACAACTGGTACACTGACAAAATATTTTATATATATATGTACATGTAAAACAATGGATTCATAGACAAAACAGATAATCATTATTTTAATAAAAAAAGATAACCTGGTAGAAAAATGGGGAAAAGATATGAAAAGGCAACTTGCAGCAGAGAAAAACCAGTCAGTTAACAACTTAATCAGACCAAGGTCTAGTAGGTTTGTTTCACCCACCTCAGCCTCAGATGCATGTTGGCACCACCAGTATTTATGGCAGGAGTCCATAAGTTTGTTTTCTGAGACCACTCACTTGTGATCTGGAGACCACACCGACTCAAAAGCAATTCCAAATAACTCTGGGGACTTGTTAGGAGAGGCGTCGTCATTTTAACAAAAAAGAAATAGGAAATCCTTACCCAGGAATATTTACTTTTTATGGTAAACCTTGGGCTCAATAATAGCCTCTTCATGAACACTTGATTTTAATGCTCACTCTGCACACTTTTAATACATGAGAGGGAAACCCGAATGCTGTGGATCAACTCACACGTTGGGCAGCCTTTACAACTCAAACTAAGTTTGGGCACCTGTGTATTTCTCATACACACTGATGGGAACAGACCAAAAAAAACAAAAACAAAACAAAACAAAAAAATCATTAAAAAAAAAAAAAGCATTCTTGAAGAAAGTTTTAATTAAAAAAATCAAAAGAAAAACTGAACAGTGCCTAAATCTTTATTTTTCATAACCTACATTTTTTTCCAAATTAGACAGTTTTACACTGAATGACACAAAAGGAAACTTAAATTACCAATAGTTTACATGTAAGCTTGATTCCAGTCTTAATGAAAAGAAGTAGAACAAAAAGTAAACCCTCAAGAAAGCTTCCACATTACACTTTTGTGACTTGGCAGCTGTTAGTACTCCTTGAATCTTCGATTGTCTGCTGCTTTCCATGTTAACAGGCTACAAAGCACACAAAACCCACGAGTATAGCTCACTGAAGGGGACACAAAGACAGGTATGCACCATCAGTCACCTGTTGTGATACATCGAACCAGTTTTTAAATGTAAACTGCAAAAATCCTAATACAGCAACATAAGACATTTTTTGCCACCCACTAGTGGCAACCAGTGATGCAATGACAGGAGGGACTGATCAGAGACATCATGACACCAATTCTTAGAGAGCGACCACTCAAAATTCATGTCTGGTGACACGGGCCAGATTCTTACTCCTATATTTCCAAATGATAAGTATCACACAATTTTACAAGTTAAAATGTCATTTGTGACTGCAGTATTTGATTCTATAACTCAAGATACTGCCGAGAAAGGAAGGAGTAAATAAAAAGTATGAAAACCACATATCATTAGCTGTATGTGACATAGCAACAGTCTGCATGCGCCCTCACAGCTTCCTATAGTGATAACTCCCATTTTCTATCTGAATGGAAAATCTTAAGGTATTATCAGAAAGGTCGTTTTGTTTTTTGTCTTGTTTTGTTTTGACATGTAGTGATTTGGCATATCACCTTTGCTTAATTAAACAGAGTGCTATAAAAGTGACATCTGAGCATAATTTCAGCTCTTGATGCCAGACGGTCACTGGCTAAGCAGAAATCAACAGTGCACTGACCTCCTCTAAATGGCAGAAGAACCCACCAGAACAGCACCCTCACTGTCATGACTACCTACGCCAACACGTGCCCACCTGCTCTCCTGTGTGCAGCTGCTGACCTTTATACTTTCAGCTCATAAAACAAACTGAGGAACTATATAGCTGGCTACCTACACACATGGCGCTGCAATGCTTGCGCCTTGGGGAAAGGACTGCCCATTATTAAAAACCAGGATTCACCTTGTGGGTGTTGTGACTTGGGGATGAGGTGGCTATCAATTCCCTGGCCCTCCTCCAGCAAATATGTGACATGAAGGACCCTAGGTCTCAGAGCTCGCCTTTCCAGCTTTTATAGTATCTGTTAGCTTGGGTTTAAGAAATCAATCACTTCTGACTTTTTTTCCTTCTTGGTCAGTGATCTGACAACTATAAAGAAATTAATTCCCATGTTCCTTTAATGGGTATTTGAAGCCTATTAGCATTGTGTTTATTTCTATATATTTGAATAATGACAACTGCTCTGAAAAGAAACGGTCAAATACATCAGGCATGTTTTTTTCTGGCAGGATTAACACTTAGCAGTGTATTTTTTAATTAGATTTTTTTTTACTTTCACTTGAATATCCTGCTAGTTTCTGCTTTCTATATTAATCTTCAAAACCCTTTCACATTAGATATGATTAGCATGTACTTACATACTTTTTAAGAATATGAAAACATCTGAAGGCTTTTAATAAGACTTTCCACTTCCCTTTTGCAGCAAAGAGGCAGAATCAGTTCAACACACCAATATAAGAGGGGGGGAAAAAAACCTCAACAAATTAAAATAATGTTCAAACCACAACATTTAGTTTATCTACATCCAGCTCAACAGCAACATTTATAATATATCAATAATTTTTATCAGATTTTTCTCTGTAGGGTACCTTTTTAATATGTTCTGATTATTTACAACTGTACAAGCAAAGCACACTCCCAAGTGCACATATTTAATACAGTATCGACTATTTGCATTTACAGGATTTTTCAACAATCTGAAAAAAGATCAACTGTTGAAGATCTTTAAGGTATATTACAAAAACTACCACTAGTTCTTGTACTACAGTATGCTTACTCAGCAAAGCTAACGACAAGAGATCCACACCGGTAACTGAGTAACTCTGATCCACTCCTGCCAACCCAGGGGCCGGTCTCCATGAGCTCTAAGCTGTCTTATACAAAAGTTAAGGCAAAGTCATTTTCAAGTTTAAATAAAATTCAAGTCTTTAAATATTGGATGGAAATAATTTTTTTTTTTTTTTTAAAAAAACCCTCAGTCTTGTTAAATAACATTTTGTGGAATAAACTGTATGGTTACATTTAGCAGGAAATATTTTAATGTCTGCGGCTTAGAATACTTAAAGAAAAATTTTAGGCATTTTAAAACAAAATAATTTATATTTAACTTTATTATAAACTTGCTAACTTTAGTGCATCCTTGTTCATCAGAAGTGCAACACTTCTAGAAGTGAATCAATGAGACCCTCATCTTGGAGGTAAAAAGAGCAGGAATTTCTGTCCTCCACCAGCCGAAGAGGGGGAAAAACCACAAACACCATTCTTTCACGGTTACATACTTTTAAATCCATGTGCCGATGCAGAGGTACAGGAAGACATCCACATGGAGCTGACTAAAGATGTGGACTCTTCAATGAGAGTGCTTAGGGGGACATGGACAGAAATGTGCACAGAGCAGGCACAAGGCCAGGAGCCAGGCAGCCAGCTCACAGGGATCAAAACAACATCATGGTACAACTTGTGGTAATGTGTCAGTGGGCAACAAAGTTTATATTTTCATTTAGGTTCTATTCACAATGTGCTTTGAATTTATTTTACATAATAGCCACTTGAAACTGGAGTGAGAAGCTGGTTACTTGCTTGCAGTACTTCAAAATTCTAAGGTGTCAAATCTTTCTAGGGTGCTCTCTGCAGGTTCATTCTGCCCACTAGATCAAAAAAAGGACTTTTTTTTTTTTTTTTTTAAATCAAAAAGCTAGAATCACCTGTTAATGGTCTAGATGAAAACACAGCTCCATGCCAGTATGTTGGCGCCCTGACACTGACAGCCCCTTCCTCTGTGAGGCGGGGGCTGCCTCTGTCAGCGCTATCAGCCCTCATCCATCTGCTGGGACACTAAAGATATGCACTTGCAGACCAGTTATTAAAAAAAAAAAAAAAAAAAAAAAAAAAAACCCACAAAGTAGCATAGTTCCCTTAATTTAGAAAAACTCACTATATATAGCTTACGTTCAGAGCCACGTGGAGGCATAATAAAAAATATCAATTTGTTAGGATAAATGCATTTTTCTATCCTGAAAAAAATCAGACTTATGCATCACCTCCAGTTAAGCACCAACCTAAAATAAGGTTTATATTAATTAAATCCTGAAAAATAGATTTTTTTTCAAGAGTGGGAGAATCCGACTCACAGAAGAAAAATAACTTGCAGGCATCCCATGGGCCTCACAGACACTGCAAACTCCTAACCAGCGACTCATTCTTGTACTGAGTGGGAAGAGTTTTGTTTGTGGTTAATACAGCTCTTTGCGACCCCTCCCAGGCATACAGTTTTCACTGAGGAGACTTCGGGGGAGTGTTCTGTTCTCTGTTGAGACGCTTCCCGACAGCTGGGGGTGAGGGTCGGCGCCCCGGCTGCCTCCTCTGGTCTTTGGGGGCTCCAGGAGTGGACTTGGGGGCAGAAGGCTCCCTGTATCTCTCCATGGGCTCAGTGAGCTTCTTTTCCTCCTTCCCACAACCAACAGTGTTTGGCTTTTGTTCTTTTTGGGGTTGTAATGGGGAGGAAGGAGGCTCTTTACTCGTTCTCTGACAAATCTCTGCATAACTGGGTTTTCGCAATTCCTGGAAACAGACAAGTGTGAAATTACATATACAAAATGACATTTCCAAGGATGACATGGGAAATCAAGTGAAAGTAAAAAGAAAGTTTCAATTGTAAGTAAATTTTCATCTTTACAGGTACTTTTACTTTTATAAAATGGGTAAAATTATAAAAGGTATAGCAATGATGTGTGAACCCAATGTGCCCAAAGTCTGTCCACTGTGCAGCCTTTAAGAGTTCCTGGGCAATGTGGAAGCCTAAGAAGAGGCCTAAGGGGGAAAAATGATGCTTTAAGAAAAAGACACTAACACTACTTTCTTCAGCACATAGAGGCAGGCTTTCCAAGGTGCTCGCAAGGGGGAGCACAGCTGTCATACAGCAGCCCTCGCAACTTTTTTAAAATTTTAAACACATTTCAAATTAGAGGGCAGGAAATATAAGCTTAAGAACAACGAAGATAAAAGCAAAAACTTTGAAAAGTGTAATAGGGTTTTAATGCATGCGGAATCATGATGGCTGAGCAAAAAAGATAATTAATATATGCTACCTACCCAAAACTGTGCTAATTATTTTACCCTATTAAAAACATTCAACCTAGTGGGCTAAAGGGCTTAACTCCTAACCTCCAAATCTAAACAGCTCACCCAAGCCCAAACTGAGAATGACTAAAGTCAGGGTAAGAGAGGCTATTCTCACAAAAAATAAATCTACCAGACAGGAAGGAAGAGCAACTGGAATCCAGAATGAAGATCTGCTAGTCACATAGGGTAAGAGCTCATCCATTTTTTTCTTTCTAGTTACTCTGCCACCCCCCTTTTTTGGTACTAGAACCCAGGGGAGCTTTACCACTGAGCTACATCCACAGTCCTTTTAATTTTTAGGACACCAAGTTGCTTGGCTTGGCCTTGAACTTGCAATTCTTCTGCTTCAGGTACACAAGTAGCTGGAATTACAGGTGTATGCAGGTGTATTCCAGGTAAACCTGGAATATTCTTCTGTTTTTTATCACAGTGTAAATGCTAAACTGATCAAAATTTCTATGGAAGAACAGGAGTTGGGGAGTATTGTTACTACTCAAGAAACCTCTATCAATCCACACTGAAATGGAAGGACTCTAAGGTGTCATGAAGAGAAGTGACCAGGGTAGTAAGTGGAGAACTGTTAGTCAATATTCAGGGTATTTTGTACAGAAAATAATACACACAGATACACATAAAAAATGTATCACATTAGACTGGATTAAAGTGAGCTGACGGCTATGGATGTGGCTCAGTGGCAGAGCACTTGCCTAGCACTGGGTTCAATCCTTAGCACCACATAGAAAAATAAACAAATGAAATAAAGGCAGGCTCTACATTTACAACTATAAATTAAAAAAAAAAGTGCCTACATTACAAACGAAAATTTAAAATTAAAAAACAATAAACAACAACAACAACAACAACAAAAAAACGAGCAAGAGGGCAATGCTGTGTCTTTTTGTCACACTAAAGTCTCTGTGACTGTTGGGGGAAGAAGACAAGAACAAATACTTACAGTGGCAGCTCCGTTCACTTGCACTGATTTACATGCGGTTGTAGTAAGGGTAGAAGAGAGTCTGTCCATGCTGTGGGTTTCTCTCTGCTTTTCTACCACCTTGGGATCCCTGTAAAAAATATCAGCCAGTATGTGAATTTGATGTGTCATTATGGGTCACTCAAATTAGTAAACTACACACTGTCAGTTGAACATTAATACTCACTCGGGTAAATGGGCTGGGGAAGGGGTTCGTTCATATGTTGCTGATACAGCACAGGAAGCCGGCACTGAGGGCTCTCTAGGGACCACTGCAGGTATAGTGTTTGTACTTGCATCTGCATTGAGGCTCTGAAAATCACCAGAGTAACAATTTAAGACAGGCTAAAGCAGCATTCATCAGATCTTTGGTAAAAAGAGGTAAGGATCTACCAATTAATACAAGGACAGAAACCTCAAATGCGTCTGCAGAGCCTGGTTCCTGTGAGGGGTACAAGCAGGGCTGAATGCCAAATACAGTTGTATATTCATCCTATCCTAGGAACAGAATAACGCCCTAACCCCCTGAAAAACAGTCAAGTCAGCGTAAGGACAGAGAAGATGGTTCTCTCCAGCAAAACTGTCAAAAAAAAGGTCCAAGTTTTTCCTCTGCCTATAGTGCACTCATCCCTCTTCTCAGCAAATGCAGAAACTGATCTAGTGTCCTGGGCTGTCTCTTCTGCATTCCTATGATAATTATCTGCAAGCTTATTTTCTCAACTGAATAGCTATTTAACACCTCTTATTCATTTGATACTTGAGGACTCACCTCAGCCTGGCAGCTAATAAGCTCTCAAAGTCAGCTAAGTGTAGAGCTCCTAACATAGATGAATATGACTCATTCTTGTAACTTACTAAAATGCATTTGAGTACTTTGTGGTAAGTGTAGGTACTCATAGGAGTCCTCACTTGAGTTCACAAACAACCTGGGGAAGCAGATGTGTTAATGTTCCCAGTTTAACAGGTGAGGAAACTGAGGCCTAGAACATTCATATTAATTTGTCTAAGGCTACAAAGCAAAGAATAAATAAATCCAGATCATCTTCTTCAGTTAGCAACTCCTGTGCAGCAACTATTTCATACAAATTCAATCTTATTCATGTTGTACATAATGACATTGTTAGGTAATTTAAGAAAGGCAACAGGACAAATAAACAATTGGCAGAACTGAGGAATGCTAAAGCTTCCTTTTTGTAAAGGGTACTTAAATTCAAGATATGTTCAGCCTTGATGTCACTCAACAAAGACATATTACTGAGCTTGGAAAGAGCCAGAGTGACGCTCACAAGCCCCACATTAATAAAGGAGGGGTCGAACGTCTAACCTCTAAAGTCCTTCTCTGCAGCTCTAAAATCTGAGTGTCCAGTAAATGCAAGAAGCTGTTGGAGATGCACCCCTAAGCAGCAATAATGCAGACCATATCCCCTGGCCATGCAATCAGGCTCATATTTTCCTCAAGTAATGATTTTTTTTTTCCTCAAGAGAAATGTTACAGAGAAACTCAAAACTCACAAAGCAGTAGCTACTGTTTCTGAACCAGGGTGGAGCCTGCCTGTTCTCTCTTACCCATCCTCTGGGGGAGCAGGCCATGTTTGAAAACCAGTGGTTAGGGCTATTAAATTGCACCAATTCTCTAACACCATTGTTTTCTATAAGATCTAGAACCCTGCAGTACACACAACCTCCAAGGTTAAAAACAGGAGAAATTATCACTTACCAATATGCAAAGGACTAAGCATTTCACCTGATCTTAGTCTCAAGATACTGCAGCAAAATCCATCTTATACTCTGCCCTAGTAAATGAGGAACGTTCACGTCCACTACAGTGGTTCTTAATGTGGGATGTGGAATGGTTCCTGCCCCCAAATCCAGAGCCATGGAAATTCTGCTGTCAGGTGACAGCAGAAAAGGTGGTGGTGGTGGATTATACTGGACAAAGATACACACAGGCGATTCTGATTTGAGAACTGTGGACTAGGGAGTGCCTATACTAAGGACAGCTTCAGCTCCTTGGGGGGCACACACACAGTTAACAGATGGGGAGAAAGCTGTTTCTTTGTAACTTTCACAGCCTTAAAACACTGATTCTGCAGCAGGACAAATCCCTACATAAGAATGTAGCAGGAGCGCCAGAAAGGAAGCGCCTTTGACCCAGGTAGCTGAGGCTGATCCTTGGGGTGGTAATTCCTGACACCTTGTATGGTGGCCTACAGTATCACCCAAATCTATTACATTATAGCAAAGTTACTCCAAGCTTCTTGCTACTTGCCCTATGGAGATTATTAGAAACTGTTACTTCTAGTATAATTCAGATTTTTCTATTTTATTCTGTTGTCCTGTGAAATAAAGGGTATCAAAATGACAATAAGGAAAATGCAACCTAGGTTTCCAATGACAGTCTACATAGCACACCGTACGCAGGTTCTACCTCTGACATCAGTAGATGGCAGAGCCACACACACCCTGGCCCTGGGTCCAACACTGACAACACCGTGTGTACTTTGCAAATCACTCAACCTCTCCAAACCTCTCAGGAGGATTTATAAATAAATAAATAAACAAACAAACAAATAAATAATAGCGTAAAGAGCTTGGCAAAGTTCCAGGCACCAATCAGTGCTCAGTGTATGTCAGTAACTGTTTGACTTGTAACATCTTACTCTTTCTTTTGATGGTCCTATGATCAAGCTAGATAGCCTGTTTTCAAACAAGTCCTCTGTCTTCAAATTGCCAGCAGCTCCAGGTAATGGAGGAAAGTTGGACAGTCCCAGTTCAAAGCTTGGTGATGGAGGCTTTGGTGGTGTTGGAGACTGAGTCTGGCTGCTCTGAAACAGAACAACACCCCACAAAGTCACAAGAGTGTGAAGAAAGAACACACAAGAGTAAGGCAAAGAATATTTGGATTATCACATCTGTCTGAAAAAAGTCTGCAAACAATGAACAATGGGCCAACATTTCCCAGAAATTTATATCAACAGGATTATTCCCTATGAGACCAGAATCCAGAAGAAATATGTCAGAACTCAAGTCAAAGCAGATTAAAGGATGAACATGGATCTAAGCTAAAAGAATACAACTATTTTGGGCATCCCCACCATGTCTTTAAGTGGTAGAAGTGCCTACTTTTAGTTTAGCTTTACTTGGTTATGTTCTCTCAGAACCAGACCTGTACTTAATTTTTTTAAAATAACACTTTAGTTGTAGATTAACACAATACCTCTATTTATTTATTTTCCATTTGCATTAGGCGAGCACTCTACAACTGAGCCACAACCCCAGCCCCTTAGACTTCTACTTATTAACCACTTGCATGCTCCCTACGATCCAGTAAAATGAACACAGTGGCTAAATAATCCAGCAAAGTTCTAAGTTACACACACAGACACTGAGACCTCAAAGCAAGTTTTTTTTTTTTTTGTTTTGTTTTTTAAAACCAGGGATTAAACCCAGGAGTACTTTACCACATCTCTAGCCCTTTTTGTTTTTATTTTGAGAGAGTCTCACTAAATTGCTTAGGGCCTTGCTAAGGTGCTGAGGCTGGCCTTGAACTTTTGATTCTCTTGCCTCACCTCCCAAGCTGCTAGGATCACAGGTTATGCCTGGCATTCAAACAGTTTTAGAGGTTTAAAAACACCTACATGTTTCTGAGATGAATGCCATTTCAAAGGATAAGCATTTTGAGTCTTCACAAAAAAGTTTCTAAATCTTAAGGGCAAGAGAAGACAGTATGTTGGAGTTACAAAGTGATTAGGACTTGACTTTGAAGGCAGAGTTTAGGATTTGAATGCTTATAGCTGAGGTAAAACTGTTGCTCCTGGTTGGGCTCAAATGTTCACATATTTGTACCTGTCTGTAAATTAAAGTATGCAGTTACAATTGGTGTATTCTCTACAATAAATGTAACACATGAGTTATATTCCTGAACTTCTAACTGGTTAACAAGTATGAACACATCAATCAGGAAAACAAAATAACTAGAAATGGAATGAAAATGCTTCAGAACAAGAGTGTAGAATATGGACAGGCAAATGACACTCTTGGTTAGTCTATCTGTCCATAGAGATTCACTAATAAAAAATGTAACTAAACAACATGAATTGCCTTGCCAAAGGATTAACCAAAAACTAGACTGAACTTATTACCGGGAGAATTTCTGAGTTCTATAAGAGAATGTATCTTTTGTGATGATAAACCACACACGCAATGGCTAAGGGTGCTGAACCAAGAATTTTCTCAAGGTTTTTTCTAGTTCTCCAAGTGTGGAATTCTGTTATCTACAAGTCCACTGGATATCTTCCTTAAATGTCTTTATATACAATGCTGGTTTTGCTACAATATTCTCCTATCATTGGGGTTGAAAAGATCCCGCTTCCACTTTGAATATATATATTCCACAGGACAGACTCTGTCTAATCCATTTAAGCAAAATGACCACATCTCATATACTTACCACACAAAAGAACTTATACTTAATTGGGATTTTTCCTGTCAATTATAGCAGAAGGCAATGATGTTTTGTATATACTGTGTAGATGACAAAATGTTTTGAATGAAAAGAACTGATGAACAAATTTCTATATTGAAGCTTATTTTGCTTGTCTAATGGCTCTAATTACAGCAGTACCTCCTTACTGATGATTTTATGTTCCAGTTTCCATTACCCATGGTCCAAAATATTAAAGAAAATTTCAGAAAAAAACAATCCATAAGTTTTAAACCATGTCATATTGAGTAGCATGATGAAATCTTGCACTGTCCTGCTCTGACCTGCTTGGGACGTGAACCATTACTTTGCCAAGTGTATTCATACGGTATATGCAACACACGCCTTAGTCACTTAGCAGCCATCTTTATTATCCCAGATTGACTGTGGTATTGCGGTGCTTATATTCAAAGGACACTTATTTTACTTAATGGCTCCAAAGTTTTGGACAGTGATGATGCCAATTTGGCTAAGCCACAAAGTGCTTCTCTTAAGTAAAACGGTGAAAGCTTCCAACTGAAAAATAAAATTGCATGCTGTGGTTGCTAAGATCAACAGTAGGAATGAATCTTCTATCTATGAAATTGAGGAAAAAAAAAAGAAATTCATACTAATTTTGTTACTGCACCACAAACTGCAAAACTGCAACGACAGTGTGTGTTAAGAGCTTAGTTAAGATAGAAATGGCACTAAATTATAGGTTTCATTATTATCCAAAGGTTCAGGCATCCCTGGGAGTCTTGTGATGTTTCCCCAAGGATCAGGGAGGGGGCTACTTTGTTCTAAATTCTACAATTAATTTATTCACACTGGGAACATGCCTGACACACATGTGTAGACCACAGTAATGTTTTAGAGTCAGCCTTTGGCTGCACCTATTCCACAGTGTGCGTATCTATATACTATAGAATAACAAAACAGTTAGCAATCTATATTTTTTAAAACTCCACAATTTTTTAGGCCACCAAAAACACTAGTTATTCCTTGTAGATATCACCTTAAAAGAAAAACTTTTCTGAAAGGTTCCTTCTCATGTTGAAGCCTTAACTCATCTGATTACCTGTCATGTTTATTTAGTATTAATGTCTTGTGAAAATGACATATGCTTGATGTACTCACTGTAAACTTCTCCTCTCTTTTCTTCCGATAGCCGAAGGAATTTTTCCTAGAGGAATGGAAAGCAAAAAAGGCTATTTTTTCCCCATTTGGAAAATTTACTGAGCATGTATTTATACTTACATATTCAAAGCATGCATCAACCAGACTTAATTACTTTGTAATCTTTCAAAGATGATTTTTGACTTTAAAAGCCCCACTTTTAAAAGGATAAACAAAATAACAACAAGGGTGTAGTAAAGAATTAAAACTGATATCTGGAAAGGTAAACATTAAAAGGTATAAAAATATATATTAAAATAATTTACCTAGTGGCTACTTAAAATTTTTGTTAAGATATGAATCCATTCAGTTGGAATGACAAGATGTAAATATAATGTCTGACATTGAACTACACAGATGAGTCATTCTAAATGTAGAAGAAATTCATCAAATGCATATTTGCTTATCATCAAAATTTCAAACACCCCAGATAACCTGTCCCATTCTTCCTCCCTTATACCTCTCTTCTGCTTCAGTGACTTCCCTTACCACAAAAAACACACAAGGCTATCTAAATCCCAAGAGTTTTCTCTCCCTACTGTGTGCTGTATGAAGAGTGTTCTAGATTCCTACCATTCAAAATTAGATCCCTGCATGCAGCAAGGCTATGCTAGGCAGCACTGCAGCTTATAACTGCATAAACAAACATTTATTAAGTGGTAACATCATGTAAGGTCTTGAGAACACCAAGATGGCTGAGATATTCCCACTGCCCTGGAAGGATTTGTGGTTTAACAAGACACCAATGAATTTCAGTTTATGATTTTATTTTTATTCATTTATCTTTTTTATCTTTTCAACTGATTACAAATTCTTAAAAATAACCTTATTTCCTTTATTTACAGAAAACCAAAAAGTGGTCTTACCTAAGATGACATTATTAATTAGAAGGATAAGCTTAGAAACCTCATTTTCTGTACCAAATAGAGACATTCTATGGACCCTATGGGGGACAGCCCCTTTTGGAGAAGTATAACACAAACATTTTAGGATTCTGGATCAAAGCCAGGCCATCATGCGGCCCGGGTTCGATCCTCAGCACCACATACAAACAAAGATGTTGTGTCTGCCGAAAACCAAAAAATAAATATTTAAAAAAAAAAAAAAAAAAGCCAGGCCATCTTTAATAGAAAATGTACTCTCTCCTTCTGCAAAAAACTAATCCAGAATAGTTTCTGGCTATCTACTGGGCCCCAGAAGAGATTAAACTCCTGAATGTGGAACTAGTGACCACTGACTTGAGCTATCCATCATGGTTTTAGGACATGGATGCAGCAATCCACTATCCTGCAAGAACAGGGAGCATGGCTCCTCAACCACCAGTCCTTCCTTGCCCTCAATCCACACTCTAACCTCCAAAGGAGCTACAGATCTGGCTGGATGAGAGATGAAAAGGAACAGGAATGAGATAATCTCAAAAGAGGGGTGTTGGGTGAACAGTGTGAGCATCTGTTGCAGCTGCTGCTGAAAAGACAGGACCGCATGGAACCCATGTGGGGACAGCCCTTCACCATGGGTGGGTACAGCTCATCACAACTGTGGTGTCTGACCACAGTAGCTCCTTCATACTGGAACAGAAGCAGTGTCCTGGATACCAATCTGACTGCACTGGGATCCGTCAGCAGTGTGATCAGTGGCCCTCACAAAATGCTCTCCTTGCCTTCACAGCACTTCACTAATACATTAGAAACCTACTGACATACTGGGGACCATGTGACAATAGGCCAAGCTGGAACCTGCTGGCTAACCGCCCATCACTCAGAATGTGAATAGCTGAGTGAAGACAGAGCTACAGGCCTGAGATAGGTTCTAATTCACAACCATAAAGTGTGACCCAGCATGGCTCTATAACCAGAGGTGAGGTTGCAGCATCATAGAGAATCACTTTTATACCAGAGTCGGTGCTTCTCATTCCCACAACTTTGAATGCTGGTGGTTTGCATGTCTTAGACCCCAAACCATGATGTTTTCTATCAGGTGAAACATCATGGTTCTAGAGACGAAACCTTAGACAACCATCTGGCATTGAACCTGGCTGGGGTGACAAAAACTATGGGTAGCTGCTGTGCATGAAGGTAGGAAGAGCATAACTGGACCCATGGGGGGCTCTCTGGAAGCCTCTTAGTGCTTCAGTACAACAGAAAATGTTAATGAAAAAACAAACCAACCCGCCAAGGAGACATAAGGGGGCCATGACCACAGTGGATCAGATCAGGTCCTTCAGGAAGGAAGGCCTGGATCACCCTGCTGAAGGGCCCAAGGGCACTCAATTATGTCTCTGAAGACAGCACATAATGCAGAGAGAAAGAAGGAAATCACATGCTTCACCTCTACTTCATAGCTTCACCTCTACTTCATAGCCCACTTCCGAAACAAGGACTATGGAGGCTCTTTGTACCTTCACTGGCTTAAAAAAAAAAAACAGACTGTGGGAACTATGCTGCCGTCCCTGGCTATTGTACTCTATTGGCGTGTGCTAGCTAAGCTCTGTTCTCTCCCCTGTATCACTGATGGCAGCTTTACCTTCAGGCTGTGGATTACTTAGGTGGGAGCATGACTCCATGACTGAGAAGACGGTTGGAGTCTCCTTTTGTATAAATCTGCATTGGCAGGCAAAGGTACAGGCTTCAGATAGTTGCCACACTAAAGTTCAAACACTGTTGGAGGATACAAATGGTGACAGTGTCTAAGAGGTATAGGGTGTTAGTTACCTACCTTTTTATACTACTTTGTGATGTGGCTGGGTTTCTGCAAATCCCCTTGTTCTTTTGCCAAGAAGCTTCTTGTAAAGCTTTTATTAATACGGAGTGCTAAGAGGTACTGGGAGGTTGAAGAGGGCACAGAACTTGTCTTTCCAGTTTGTACTCTTTTACACATGCCCCTGAGAGGTACCAGCACTGAGCTAGCTAGGCAGACCCCTGTCCCTAGAAGTCTGTGCCTAGCTCTGCAGGCTCTTTCCTTCCTAGCTTCCAACAACCCCAAACTCCACCCTAAGGTTGGTAGCTCCAGCTAGCATCACTAACTCAGCATTATTCAATATTCCCCTTTTGTCTTTTCAGTCTTCAAAACTTGATGAACCAAATGTGTATCAAAACAGCTGCTGCTGTTTATTTTCCTGACCTATATTCAGTCCAGTGCCAGTTCTACTAAACCATGTTGCCTGTGGCCACTCTTACAATCTGACCACCAGCTTCACAGATGCTGATTTAATCAGCACAGATAGGATTAGTTGCTTCTGGATTCCTCTTTAACTCTCAAAATGCACCAAAAGCACATATAGGCACACCTCATTTTATCGTGTTCTCCTCTTTTTCTTTTTCAGATGCTGTTTTTTTAACAGCAGAAGGTTTTGTGACAACCCAGGGTGAAGCAGAAGTATCAGTATCATTTATACAATATCATGTGCTTACTTTGTGTCTCATTTTGTTTACTCTGAAATTGTTATGGTGACTTGACTCTTGAGGTTACTATTCCAATTGCTTTGAGTGCCAAGATCTGCAACCACATTGCTAGCCACACTGGGTCACACTTTGTGGTTGTGAATTAGAACCCATCTCAGGCCTGTAGCTCTGTCTTCACCCAGCTATTCACATTCTGAGTGATGGGCGGTTAGCCAGCAGGTTCCAGCTTGGCCTATTGTCACATGGTCCCCAGTATGTCAGTAGGTTTCTAGTGTATTAGTGAAGTGCTGTGAAGGCAAGGAGAGCATTTTGTGAGGGCCACTGATCACACTGCTGACAGGATCCCAGTGCAGTCAATGATACAGCATTTGACTATATAATTGATAAATGTGTCCTGGTGGCTCCACCAATCATTACTTCATCTCTCTCCTTTCCTTAGGCCTCCTGACTCACCAAAAATACTGAAATTAATATTGAAATTAACCCTACAATGGTCTTCAAGTATTTAAGTGAAAGAAAGAGTTATACATCTATTGCTTTTAATCAAAAGCTAGAAACGAAAAAGCATAGCAAGGAAAGCCTATCGAAAGCTAGAACTGGCTGAAAGCCAAGGTATGAATGCAAAAGAAAAAAATTCTTGAAGGAAATAAAAGTACACATGCATCATAACTGGACAAAAAAGCCTTATGGCTGATACGGAGAAGTTTTAGTGGTCTGGGGAGAAGATCAAACCAGCAACAATGTTCCTTTAATAAAAACCCTAATCCAGAGATCAACTCTAGGAAGGCTGAGAGGGGTGAGCAAGCTAAAGAAAAGTTTGAAGCTAGCAAAGGATGGCTCAGGAAGCTTGAAGAAAGAAACCTTCTCCATAACATTGCAGTGCAGGGGAAGCAGCAAGTGCTGATGGAAAAGCTGCAGCAGGTTACCCAGGAGATAAGCTAAGATGGCTGACAAAGGTGGCTGCACTCAGTGATGGGGTTTTCAGGGTAGATGAAACAGTCTTCTACTGGAAAATGCTGCCATCTAGATAGAGAAAAGTCAATGTCTTGTTTTAAAGGACAGGCTGATTCTGTGTTAGGGGATGGGCAGTTGATGACTTCAACTTGAAGCCAGTGTTCATTTACCATTATGAAAATCTTAGAGCCCTAAGGAATTACAGTAACTCTACTCTAATTGTGCTTTATAAATGCAACAACAAAACCTGTAAACAACATGGCTTACTGAATATTGTAAGTCCATCATTGAGATCTGCTGCTTGGGGCCGGGGGGAGACTCCCTTCAAAATATTATTGACTCACTGGCAATGCAGATTAATGTAGTTTTCAAGCCTACTAACACCACATTCATTATGCAGTTCACGGATCAAGGAGTAATTTCAACTTTTAAGATCTCAATATAAGACATACATTTCATAAGGGAACAGATACCACAGGTAATGATTCCTCTGATGATATGGGAAAAGTAAACTAAAAACCTGGAAAGGAATCTCCATTCTAGATGCCATTAAGAACCTTTGTGATTCAAAGGACGGGACCAAGACATCAACATTTACAAAGTTTGGAAAAAGCTGATTCCAACTTTCATTGTTGACTTTAAAGTGCTCAAGAGTTCAGTGAAGGATATAACTAGAAGATGTAGTGGAAATAGCAAGAAAACTAAATTAGAAATGTAGCCTGAATTGCTATAATCTCATGACCTAACTTTAATGAACACTAGTAGGTCTTATGGATGAGCATAAAAGGTAATTTCTTAAAATGGAATCTAATCCTAGTAAAGGTCTTCTGAATATTGTTAAGAAGAAAAGATTTATATTATTACATAAACTAGGCAATAAAGCAATAGCAGGATTTCAGAGGATTGACTTCAATTTTGAAAGAAATTCTGTTTATGCTGTTTTACAACCACAACAAAGAGTCAATCAAGAGGCTGGAGCTCAGGAGTGGTGACTTGCCTTGCACAGGTGAGGCACTGGGTTCAACCCTCAGCATCACATAAAAATAAATGAAGGTACTGTGCTCATCTACAACTTTATACACACACATACACACTATTTACTTATATATACTATATATTATTTACTTTATTTATTTATACATATATATGTGCCATATATATATATAAATAAAGGTCAATTAACATGGCAAGAGATTTAGTTTTCTTAGTTTAAGAAACTGCAACATGGGCTAGGGTTATGGCTCAGTGGTAGAGTACTTGCCTAGCACGTGTGAGGCACTGGGTTTGGTCCTCAGTACCACATTAAAAAAAAAAAAATAGAATAAAGTCATTATGTCCATCTACAACTAAAAATATTAAAAATAAAAATAAAAACTGCAAGAGCCACCGCAGCTTTTAGCAACCCTAATCACTTAGCAGTCATCAACATGGAGGCAAGATCCTCCACCAGCAAAACGATCAGAATTTTAAGGCTCAGATGATTATTAGCATTTTTAAGCAAAACAGGGTTTGTTTAATTTTTTTTTCAGTTGTAGCTGGACACATATTTTATTTATTTTTATGTGGTGGATCGAACCCAGGGCCTCGCATTTGCTAGGCAAATGCTCTACTGCTGACCCACAACCCCAGCCCCCAAAACAATGTTTTTAAATTAAGGCATATACATTATTTTTTTAAAACAGATGCTACTGCACTCTTACTATACTACTAGAGCATGGTGTAAATATAACTTTTATATGTACTAGAAAACCAATAAAATGTTTGTGACTCACTTCATTACAATTTTTGCTTTATTGCAGTAGCATGTAACCAAACCTGCAATATCTTGGAGCTGTGCCTTTACTGTACCAGGAAGAAATACGAACCAACACTTTTAGAGCTTCTGTATGTCAGTCATTGTACTATAAACTTTGTATAGGGAGACCACAGAAATATCTTCTCTTAAAACTTTTCAAGGTAAGTTTAAAAAAAAAAGGCTCAAGGTTGGGGTTGTAGCTCAGTGGTAGAGCACTTGCCTTGCACTTGTGAGGCCCTGGGTTCGATCCTCAGCACCACATATAAATAAATAAATAAATAAATAAATAAATAAAATAAAGGTATTATGTTCATCTACAACTAAAAATTATTTTTAAAAAAGAAAAAAAGGCTCAGGAAGGATGAACTGCTTGCTCATCATTCATCAGAAAAGAATCATGACTGTCCCTATCAAATTAGAGATGAATTGACCTAGTTAATACTATATGAGGGAAACTCCAGGATCCACCTTCACCTTCTCTAACCTCACCTCTCCATAGAGGTAAGTTTATACATCCTACTGTCATGCATATGTAAAAAGAACGAGAGAGAGAGAGAGAGAGAGAGAGAGAGAGAGAGAGAGCGCCGCACGCACCAAGTGACTTTGGGTGGGCAGATATACAAAAAAAAAGACAGAAGGCAAGACAACAAGCAAGAAGAAAGATCAAGCTATATCATGCAAACAGGGAGAAGGAAGCTGTTTCATTCATGATGCATGGTAAGAGTCCCAGGTAATGAAGAGACACTGAGGCACCAAGGGCATGAGACTACTTGTCCCAGTATGAAAATGTATGATAGACAGACATTACTTCACCATGACAGCTTCTGTTGATAGATAAATTTAATAGGAATGGAATTCAAATGCTGGTTTGCTTAGATATCAAACTCTGGTATGTCTCTACTCTAAGCCACTGCTAGGTGGAAAGGAAACAAGCAAGAAGCCCATGGGACAGAGACAACAACCACAGTGAGATTGCAGGCATACAGATGGAGTCTGAGAACTGCAGAGCTCTAGACTCCCTACAAGTGCTGCAACCTAGAAGAGTTCAATTCCATCTGCAGTTCTCATGGAATAAAATTTCATACTACATATATACACACACATAAATCATTTAAATCCTCTGCTCTAAAAGTTAACAATTACCACAGCAAGTATACAAACCTTTAATATTTATAGTTTTCAATTTGATTTTCTGAGATATAGAAAATAATTATAAAACATCTAAATTTAAGAAATTTTAAAATATTAATATTTTAAGATATAATACAAAGGACAAAACCCAGGTGTGCTCTACATCACCAGTCCTCTTAAATTTTTTTTTTTTTTTTTTTTTTTACTTTTTTACTTTAAGACAGTGTCTTGCTACATTGTCAAGGCTGACCTTGAACTTGTGATCCTCCTCCATCAGCCTCTGAAGTAGCTGGACAGGCAGTCCCAGTGTATGCCACCAAGCCTGGCTGACACACAGTATCTATTCAGCATCATATATAACAACTTACCTTCCTCTCCCTAAACCAGGAGAGGATTCAAGACTACTTGGCTCCACACGCCCAGTTCCAATCTCTCTCTTGGCATAAGCTGAAGGATTTTGTATTCGCGTTCTAGTTTGCCCTGTTTGCCTTGTCTGTGGGCTCCGAACACCATTAATTAACCGATCTGCGGTGAAGTTAAATATTGATGGACTTTCCAGTAGTCCAGGTCCTCTCTCTGCACTAGGAATTGCATGGCGCAGATGAGATTTACTAGGATTCCTGTAAATGGAATGTTTATATATGCTGAGCTATAAAACAAGGCATTATTTAACAAGAATTTAAAGCCAAACAGCTAAGCTAAAATCTGTTCTCTACTTAACAAATACAAAAAATGTTATTTGGAACAGTTAATGCACAATACACACACACACACACACACACACACACACACAATGATGTAATCATGTGCCAAGGCCCTGCTCTGCTCTAAGTCCAGGACAAAGTTAAAAAGCAGACACACATGGCACAAGTTATCTCAAAGGCCTTCTCTGAAGACCATCTAGTCCTTTATGTAGGCAACCAATTTTGGTGTTTAATCTTTGTAGACTGTAGCTGAATACTTTCATTAGTTTTTTTTCTGATGAGCATTTCTAGTGGTCAAATATACCTAACATATAAGGTAAATATACCTTTCTTACTGAAAAACAAAACAAAAAACAGTTAACATGAAGCTCATAAGCGTCTGAATCATGCTTGGAACTTGCCTGCTTCTAGGAGGATACTGTCTAAGTGAAGTCAGAGGAGATGCTGCAGGTTTGAAGGTTGGAGACGTAAACCCATTTATAAATCCAGTATTTGGAAATGGAGTTACCTAAATTAATTAACAAACAAAAAAAGTAAACATGCCATGAAATAAACTTCAATTTGGTCTATAGCATCATATCTTGGGGCAACAGAAGTCACTGCTTCCTGTTGTCAGAGATAGTAAGTAAGTTCCATATTATACTTAAAAATAATTGTGGACTAAGAAAAACATCTTGCAAGACTATTACCAAAGCTAATATTTATTGAGCACTCACAACAATTAGACTGGTGCTAAGAACTTTTTCTGCATCATCTCAGTTTATGTTTATGAGAATTCAATGAGGAACACAATTCACACATGTAAAACTGACACTAGGTGAGGACAGAACCTTACTCAAGATCACTTGGGGTCTTAGACACAGATATTATCTGAAAACATCCAAATGCTTGACCTAAGGGTTAATAATAATACTACCTCCATTCCTAGCAAGAAGTCAACATTTCTTTCCTCCCCAAAATCTTATAATCAAATTTCTCAATCTTAGGAGCATTCATATACTTACTCTAATTTTGCTTACTTCATTATCACAGCCCTTAGAGTGCAATTATCTATTATCTATTTATTTGTTTGTTTGTTGTAGGAGAACACAATATCTTCACTTCATTTTTACGTGATGCTGAGGATGGAACCCAGGGTCTCACGTGTGCTAGGCAAGCAGAGAGTGCAATTTTAAGGTAACACCTGACATATTAACATATTGACGTAAAACTCAGAAGACAATTATAAAGGGTCTATTCATAGAGCCCTTTAAAGATAAAATCAAATATAATCTTAAAAGGTTAAAAATATTAAGCAGATTTTTTAACATAACCCAATTATTCAAATATCTGATTTGAATACACAAAACTTACTGTTGAAATAGTTCTTTAAAAAAAAAAAAAAAAAAAGGATAAAGAGAGATCACTAACTTTCTGGCTTCTGGACCCATGACCTCAAATGGTCTGTATGAATGACATTCCTTCGAAGGCATTAGCTGTTTGGAGCTTGCCAGTCCCCTCCCTTAATTTTTTTATTTTCTTTTTTCTTTTTAGGTGGCAAGGGTTGCTTATTAGCCAACTGCAAATGTCCTCAGCCCTTTTAATTTATTTATTTTAAAAATCTGAGACAGGGTGTAAGTTGTTTGAAGCCTCACTAAATTACTGAGGCTGGCCTTGAACTCACAATCCTCTTGTCTCAACCTCCCAAATTGCTAGGATTACAAGTATACGCCATTGCACCTGGCTCCCACTCTTAAACATTTTCACTGAATTGACTGTAATATGTATAGCTTCTTCCATGTTTGATAAAGGGAAACAGAAAAGAAAAAGAACAAATGATTTTCTCTAGAGCTAACTGAAGTTGTAAGAGAAAAAGGGTATTACAGATAGTTTATCACTTACCGATTTAAGAAAAAAAGGCAACAAGAGAAATACTTAAAACTTATACAGTAGAATCACTACTTGAAAAATTCTTCAATCAATAAGAATCAGACTATTTAAAAACATATCATTCCAGCTGGGCCTGGTGGCACACAGCTGTAATCCCAGTGGCTCAGGAGGCTGAAACAGGAGGATTATGAGTTCAAAGCCAGTCTTATGCTTTGGTACGAGGTATCCCCCACAAAGCTCACTGTGAGACAATGCAGGAAGTTTCAGAGAAAAAAAATGATTGGACTGTGAGTCTTAACCACCAGTGAATTAATCCCTGATGGGATTAACTGAGTGGTGACTAGAGACAGATGGGGTGTGACTGGAGGAAGTGGTTAATTGGGGGCGGGGCTATTGGGTATATATTTTGTATCTGGAGTCTCTCTCTGCTTCCTGATGTGAGTTGCTTCCCTCTGCTACTCTCCTGCCATGATATTCAGCCTCATCTCTAGCCCCAGGAGTACTATGAGCCCTCATAGAAACTTTTCCTCCTCATAGTTGCTTTAGTCACAGCATTGAAAAAGCTGACTAAAACAGCCAGCCTCAGCAAAAGTGAGGCACTAAGCAACTCAGTGAGACCCTATCTCTAAATAAAATACAAAATAGGACTGGGGATGTGGCTCAGTGGTCAAGTACCCCTAAGTTCAATCCCTCATACCCACCACCCAAAAACAAAACAAAAAACCCATATCATTCCAGAATAGGTAGATTTTGGAGATTTAAATCACAGGGATTCCGATAAAGACTAATTATTTCACATATGCAATTTTACACATGGAACTCTGGTATTTTGAATAATTTTAGGAGCCTAAAAATAAAACAGATGAACAAAATAATTTAATAGTTTTAATTTAATAAAATAATTTCGTTTCATAACCTGCTGAGAATAAACAGGCAACCATCTCTTTTCTTTTGCTCCAGTGACACAATGTTTCAGAGCAAATAAAAGAGTACTGGTAAAAGGACTGAGCTCACATACTGTGCCTAATCCACATGACCATCTTAAAAAAAGCAACCTGAATGGAAAACCAGTCAAGACCATAAATGACCTAGGATTTCCAAGAGGGTCCAGTCCAGGTACAGATGAATATAACTAAAGAAAGGGAGAAGCAAGTGACTACAGGAAGAACTGAGTCTGACAAGCATGGTGTTGGCCACATTGGGGAGAACTTATTCAATAGGGACAGTCTAAGCAATGTAGTTAGCCTCTAAGGTTCTTTTTTGATATATTTTTTGGGGGTGGGGGGGAACAACTATATAGCTTCCCATATGTTTTTATAGATGCAGCCATATTTTAAAAACTAGTGTACCTTCTTTCCATTAGAATTCATTCAAAAAAGAAGTAACTTTGGATTTTAGCCACTTGCATAAATATTTTTTATTGCAGAAGTTCTAGAATTTGGGGGGCTAACAGGCCGACCCCTTTGAGACCCTCTTCTCATAAATCAACTGTCCTTGTATATCCTTTACATGGTTGTAAAAGCTATTTTCTAAATGGAGTATGATTTAATTTCCCTTGCTTAGAACCAGAGATGACCTCCCAGAAGGTCAAAGTCCACATGCCTCAGGACACTATGTAAGAACACTATAGTTTGGCATGATAACTTACCAGCCTTGCTTCCCAGGTTCCTGAGCCCAGTCTATGCTTTTGCTCAGAAACAATCTGGTCCATAACCATTTGCATGCTTTTGTGCATGCTTTTTGTTCTTGAAGCTTCCTTCTCTTTGACCCCTTTTCAAAACTCATATCTAACAGAGAGGCTCAATTTAGGTGACAACATAATATCCCATGAAGTTCTTAATTGGGTATTTTATATGTGACCTTTTTTTTGCAATTATCACCTCCTTGGTACATCTGACTTTTCAAGACTGAGGTTTTTTCCCATAGGCATTTATCTTTAATTGTATCAGCAATTAAAGTTGAAACAACACTTCTCTCAAGATCCCTCTCTTTCACATGTACCCAGTTTTTCTGCCAGTAAGTGGCTCCCAGCCATCTGACCCTGAGTACTACCCAGTCTCTCCCTGACCTGGTCCACAGCCATATCCTGGATACAAACTCTTTTCAAAGTTACTAACTCAACTTTTGCTTTCTGACTATAACCTTCTATGCACTTTGCCGCTCTACCTCTCTCATTCCAACTAAACCTGCATCCCTACCCCATGCAAACCTCCAATACAGGAACTTATCTTCTTTTTCTAACCCAGACCTCAACTTCAAGGACATTTATCACAGATTGCTGATTCTCCTGCATCCCATGCAATTAAATTCAAGCTAATTTCCAAGTAGGAACAGCTGATCTTTCTAGCCAACTCTAGCAAAACCATAATGGCAGAAAAATGACTAGATCCATTACAAATTTATGAATTCTAACCACAGACCTTACCACAAGCCAGTATCTGTAAAAATTAACCATGCCAACCAACTCTGAGGCTGGTGGGAGAAGTAAAATAAAGCTCTGCAAGAAAGCATGTATTTCACTTGTTTCAGACTACTAGAAACTCACTTAAATACCTATCTCCTGAACAGCTCCCCACTTGCCATTTCCCTATATGCTCAGAGGGACGACATCAGTTATATTTTCTCTATATGCTCAGAGTTTTCACTGTATTCTACATTTTACAGGAGAAGAAATGCAGACTGGGCAAGAATCACAGTCACAGTGTTTCAAAGTTTTTGTGCAGATAGCTCTGTCTATATCACTCAATTGAATTTAAAATTCACAGCATAGCCTGAAGATCTGCTTTATTACAGCAAATTGCATATATATCTGGTTTCTGTATTAGATAAGGCATTTAAACTTTCAAAGTACCCAGTGGAGTGTCTATATACAATATAGAAGTCTGTTTAATTAAAAAAAAAAAAAAAAAAAAGACTTACCAAGGGTGGATCAAGATAGCTATGTGTTGTTGACCATGTCTGGGGGGTAATCAGGCTGTACAGAGGAAATTGCTGCTGGGGACTGTATACTGGAGGTAAATAAAATGATGTTGTATAACGCTGCTGTGTATAAAGGTTCATGTCCAGAGGTCTAAATCCATTCTTTGGCAAAAACGTGTTTATAGCTATTGCCTTTGCTTTTATCCGTGCCTGTTTGAAAATATTTAAGTTTCTATTACAATGCTTAAGAACAATGATTAGAAAACAAAAGAAAATGTAATCAACTGGTCTTGCTTACCTTAATTGGCTTTCCTTGAAAAGTTTTTACTTCTTCTCGCAGGTATTTGTAGGCCTAAGGGCAAAATCATCCAGTTAGCCTTATAAATAACATGAACTAATAGTTAATTCAATAGCTTAAAAAAGGGATTCTATGGTAATAAACAGGAGCAATAATAGTAATTCTTTATCCTCTTTGGGTCACAAATCCTTTAAAATAACCTCAGCAATTATGGAACCGCTACACAAAAATTCTCATAAACAAGATATATACTAATTTTATAAGAATTAATAGATACCATTAAAGTCTACCAAAGACCTGGGAGGAAATGAGGAATACTGAATACAAAGTTCCTAATATTAATCCCAACTTGAAATCGGAAACATGAAATTCAGGAAATGAAATTCTAAACAGAGGGAGAAGAGATGAAAACTAGGGTTAGGATTGTGGCTCAGAGGTAGAGCGCTCGCCTAGCATATGTGAGGCACTGGGTTTGATCCTCAGCACCATATAAAGTAAAATACAGACATCGTGTCCACCTATAACTAAAAAACATTAAAAAAGATGAAAACTAAAATATTAGAAAGTCATTATTTATGTGTAGCTATCCCTTCTCCAAATTAGATCTATATTAAGCCCCTTACATAAAGTCCAAAGGATCCACATATTCCCATTCAAGCTCATCCAGCATGTTCTCCAAGCAGGTCAGCAGCACTGCGCTATGTTCTGTAAGCATAGCGTTTCCAATCTCCCATTCCCCTTTCTCTCCTTCTCTCCAGTTAAAACCTATCTTTAGCTTTCTGAATTTTCTCTTTTGGACTTCCAGTAGAGGTTGCAATATTTCTTACTGAACACTCATTAATTTGTTTCCCTCAAACAAGAGTCTCCTTTAAGAGCAAGGAAATATAAGTCCCTTAACTCGGCATGTGTCCTTCAAGGTACTAACACTCCTTCAACTGATTTTCCTAAGCTGCTGATCTTACAATATTGTTAGACTGTAATGTCACATGCTTTCTATATTGCTATATAAACTATTCACAGAACATCCAATTTAGGTTTATACAACTCGATTTTGTCTGCACTTTATATCCAAACTTAACACTATGATATAATAACCTCAATGCCCAAATTTACTCTACGTACTGATATTAAATTACTGGTAAACTATGTACTTCACAGGGAGATCAAGGAGAGAACTTACCTGCTGTGCATCAGCTTCTGTTTCAAATGTAATAAACCAATTATCATTATAGGCAAATTCACAGTTTATAAATTTCGGTAAGTTATCTCCTTTAAATAGTGCTTCTACTTCCTACAGGAAGAGAGGTTAGATATTAATTCTCAGTTATGCCACTTTTTGTCCTCACTAAAAAAAGCATTCTCTTAAGCACAGTTCAACATGATGATGCCTGGTAAATCTCTTTTCAAAAAAGGATAATGTGTTCAGTGCAGCTTCCAGAATTAGGACCACAATGACACAGGAATATAGTTATACAACTTATTGATGGTTTTCCTGCTTCCAAGATATCATTATGCTAAATAATCTGAAAGATAAGATACCATTTTAACCACCAGGCTAATAAGTACATTATTTTGAACAAAGATAATTTAAAATATAAAAAATATTAGCTCAATTTTTGCTGCTGGCCAAGATATGACACAATACAAACAATTGCAAGTGAAATAGGGTTTTCCAACATTGGCCATCAGGCATTCTAGGAAAGGAGTCCTTGAGAGAGGAGACATGAACAAGGTGAGCCCTGAGAATGTTGAGCTCATGCCTAAATTCCAGAGCTCCATGGAGGACTCTCCCCAGGTCCTCAGCTTGAGCTTAAAATACCACCTGTGATGATCAGAAGGAATAATAACCCCCGACTCAGCTCATGGGCAGGGAATAATTTGCCTTCTCACCAGTCAGAGTGGAAAACTGTCCCAAATTCACTGTCCCAAAATCAGTACTCAGAAAAGCACTGCCTCAGCAGTGGGGAAAGATGAACCCCAGAGAAAAGACTGCTCTGATTCCATCTTACTAATATTCCTAAAGGATCAAACTGGTTCAAAGTAATGGAGATGGGGTTTTGCTGTTTTGCCCAGGTTGGCAGATCACTCAAGCAATTCTGCCTAGGATCCCGAGTAGTTGGGACAACAGGAGCATGCCATCATCAAGTAATTTAACTGCATCTCAGAACCAAAATCAACAACATTTATCAGAATACAAAAATATTCGTACCTAGTAAAGTAAACATCAGACGCTTGGCATTCATTCAAAAGCTACTAAGTATGTAAAGAAATAGAAAAATATGGCCTAAAATCAAACAGATCAAATTAAATCTGGAAGTGACACATGACAGAATTAGTAGACAAAAGCAATAAAATACTGATTATATATTTTATATGCTCCAAAACCTGGGCTGAGAATGCTAAATGGAGATAGAGGAATTTTTAAAAGACCCGAATTAGAGATGAAAAATACAATGTCTGAAATGAAAAGTACAATAAAGAGGATTAACAGCTACTTAGATACTTTCTAAAGAAAAAAAAAGGAGAAGAGAGAACATGAAAAATAATGCCTCAATAAGAAACCTGAAAGCTTTTCCAAGGTACCCTGCTATCAAATTGTTTAAAATCAGTGATAAAATCTTCAAATCACACAGAGAAAGATGATTTATCACACACAGAGGAATGAAGATTTTTAAAAAAGGCAGATTCACTGTCATAAACAGTGCATACCCGAAGAGAACAGAATGACAACAGAAAGGGAGAAAACTTTCCCTGGTCAATCTAGAAATCTATACCCAGCAAATGGGCCTAAAATAAAATCTTTTCTCAAATATATTAAAGCTAGCGGGGGAAAATCACTAGCAGACCTGTTAACACAAGAAATTTTAAAGGACTATTCAGGCAAAAAGAAAGTGATATTAGACAGGAAGTCTAGACCCAGACAAAGGATGAGAAGCACTAGAAATGGCAAATATTAGATAAATAAAAAACACATTTTTATTATTTTTAATTTCCTTAAAAGAAAATTAAATTGTTCAAAGCAAACAATGTATTGTGGGGCTTATGGCCACACAGAATTAAAGTACAAGACAAGAGCACAGGGCTGAAGGTGCAAAACTAGAAGAATATTGTTCTAAAGAGAAATGGTATTACATTAATTTAAGGGTACACTCTAGGAAGCTTAATGCTGATAAACCACAAAGCAAGCACTGAAAAAACACATATATCCGACTGGGGTTGTGGCTCAGCAGTAGAGCACTTGCCTAGCACATGGGAGGCACTGGCTTTGATCCTCAGCACCACATATAAATAAATAAAAAAGGTATTGTGTCCAACTACAACTAACAACAACACGTATATCTAGTAAGCCAAAAAAGGGTTGGAAGGTGAAAGAAAGAAAACAAAGAACAGCAGAAGCAAAAAGGAAATAGTGAAATGACAAATTTAAACCCAGCAACAACATTAATCACTTAAATATAAATAAGCTACACTCATAATTAAAAGGCAAAAATTTTCAGATTGGGTAAGAAAAGCAAGACTCCACTATGCAATGCTTACCAGAAACTCATTTTAAATGTAAAAGACACAAATGGATTAAAATAAAAAGAATGGAGATGACATACCATAATAATAATAAATGAAAACTACAGTGGCTACACTCATACCACACAAAGTAGACTCCAAAGAAAAACAAAAAGGGAAAATAAGGTCATTTCATTAAAAAATTATTATCCAGTAAACTCTTCACAAAGTAAAGAAATTAATTAAATGACTATAAAAATTGTTTCCTGGAATTGTACACCTATTTTGATATGTAACATCTGATAAATAATTTTTGGCTAAAAGAGAAAACTAATACATTAATGCGGAAGTCATACTTGACTAACATTAGTTAGTATTACTACTTCTAAACTCAACCAATAGTCCTTTAGTACCACTAGGCTGTCAATACTGTACTGGAGTGGTTAATTCTTCTGCCTCTGTGAGGTTTCTCTCTAAACTATTTTATAAAAATTCGATAAACAGAGGGGTGGGAAGGGGAGGGAGGGAGCATGGGGTTAGAAATGATGGTGGAATGTGATGGACATCATTATCCAAAGTACATGTATGAAGACATGAAATGGTCTGAATATACTCTGTATACAAGTATGAAAAATTGTGCTCTATATTGTAATATAAATTGTAATGCATTCCATTGTCATACACACACACACACACTATATATATATATATATATATATATATATATAAATGAAACACTGGATCAAGATTTCAAATGTTCTAACCATTGAGAAGCATCTGGTCACATTTAAGGAACTTTCTAGAAACTCTCACCCTATACTTCTAAGCATCAAGAGATGGACTCTGCATCATACAGTCCTTGGAAACTTATTTCCTATTCAAATTGTTTTGGAGTACTTACTTTCCTTCTTTATTTCTCAACTTTATAATTACCACAGGGTTTCTTTCAAGCCTTCTCTCTTAATTTTGCTCAAACTTTGACAACAGACTTATTTAAGTGAGTACAGTTTTGAATACAAATGATACCAAGATCAATGTCTACAGCTAACTGTAGAAAATTCTACTCAGTTATAATTTTTATAAGCATTTCAAGCTTTGAAGAACAGGATCCATGTTTTAAATAACAAAGATATCTAGATGATGATGATGATAATAATAATATCCTAGTCCTTCATATTCAAAACTTGAATAAAAATATAATTATTTTTCTCCAAGTATTACAACATACAATTAGTTAAAGTATCTTGGTGAAACAGAAAGTAAACCTCCTCTAGAACAAAACCTTTTTAAAGAGTAATATGATTTCTTACCCTCACACCTACAACCTTGTTGGAATCCTTATCTTTGTTACATTTTTTACATGTGTTCTTAACAAACTTTCAAATAAACTAGGACTTAAAACCTGAACCATGGAAGCACAGTTAGAAAGTGTGCTATTTCCTTAGCAGAGGAGACAGTGTTTAAAAAGACATGTAGCATGAAAGGCTTATATCACATAAGGCTTAAGAGAAATGAAAACCAGGCTAACTGGATTAAGCACCCCCTGAGCAAGTAGATGCTGTTCTCTGAGGTGGTTAAGAACTGATCTGATGAGCTAAATTCCTAGCATCTTCCATCAATACTTATCTTCACTATCTCCAGGCATAACCCCCAGTATTTACTACAAAGTGCAACTTATTTTACTTTCTACTGTGCCAGGGAATCAAACCCAGGGCCTCATGCATGCTAGGAAAGCAGTCTATTACTGAGCTCCATCCCCAGCACCAGTGCAGCTTAGTTAACCATTTGGAGAAGTAACAGATTTTATAGCAATGCAAATCAGTCAATTTCAATATTTTAAAACTATCAAATATTATGATTTATTCCTTAAAATTACTGCCCTAAGCCACTGCTTCTCTAATGATGATCTTCACATTCCATTTTCATGAACAAAGATGACTTTGTCTTTTTACTCTGAAGACATCTGCACTGATGGTGGAAATTCACTGGCAAATGAAATAGTGGGCATAGTAGCCTGGATTCAGCAGCAACATCAATGGTGCTCAGGGATCTCTTCACAACTCCCTCTTCATAAAATATTTATTTAAAATAATTATTTATCATAAAAGTGCCCTGTATCTTAATTTGGGGTTTATCATTATTTCTTATTAGATAAATATTTAAACTCATTTTAATTTACAAATATTGAAATATACAAACCCTATCTTTTTAGTGTAAAGTGTGTAAAGGAGCTCTGAGATTAAAAGAATTGAGGATTGTTTCCTTCTACGAGGAATGCACATCATAACTATCAGAGTATATAAATCCTAGGAAAAGTGTTAACTGTTAGGTTTCTATTCTTAAATATAAGCCGTCCTAAAAACACAGTCATAAAAATAATCAAAACCACCAAAAACCCTCAGGAAAATGTCCAAGTACCCATGAGAGGAATAGTCACTTACTTCCACAGGGGTAGATTCAGAGATTTCACGCAGGATTACTATGCAACGATTTTGATTTGGCCTTACTTTTTCTCCCTTCTCATCCACTTGAACTAAAGGTAAAGCTGTAAAGGAATGGGAGGAAAAACCCATAAATATTAAAACATGACACTTCAATGGAAAATATCACACCATATTACTAAACACATTGAAGAAACCTGGATACAATGGAAAACCACAAGTTTTAATTAGTTTATTTATTTTTTTATATTTATTTTTTAGTTGTAATTGGACACGATACCTTTACTTTATTTATTTATTTTTATGTGGTGCTGAGGATGGAACCAGTGCCTCCATGTGCTAGGCAAGTGCTATAGCCACGACCCCAGCCCAGTTTTGTTAGTTTAATACAAGCTATCAAAAAGTTTTAAACGAACCTTGAATTTAAATTTTTCAAAATGAAGAAACATGGAAATCTGAAGTCCTAAAAGTGGATTAATGTATGTAACACTATGAAACAAAGAACAGCAGCTACAATATTAGTAGATTAAAACACGGGATTAATGGTTTCCTCCTTTCTATAAGTCCCTAAAATATTGTCTTATTGTAATTTTTTATTTTGCAATATTCTAAGTCTTACAGAAAGCTCTCGCGTACCTACCTTCACTCAATTCTCCCTAATGATAACATCTGTCAATAACTCTAATAGTGTCTCAGCAAAAATGGTATAAGCTTTTTTTTTTCTTCCCTTCTATGCTGTGACCAAAATATTGACAAGAGCAACTTGGAGGAAAAGTTTATTTGAGGCTCATGGTTGCAGAGAGTTCAGTCCACAGAAGGCCAACTCCACTTCCACTGCTCTATTTGCTTCCAAAGGTGAGGAAGCAAATGGGGGTGGGGGGCGAGGAAGGCCCATCAAAGGAAAAATGCTCAGCTCATGAGCAAAGAGAAATGTGTATGTGTGTCCCACTTCCTCCAGTTATAACTCACCTGCCTATAGTCTGTTCAAACTGATTAGGTTACAGCTCTATTACAAACTGAATATTTCACCTCTGAATATTCCTGCATCAACAGGAGCTTCCGGGGGACGCCTCATATCCAAACCATAACAGATGCCAATGTTGGTGCAATACTCCCAGGAGCAGGCTTAATTCAGATTTCACCAGTTTTTATGTGCACCCCTTTTGGTTAAGTTTGTGTTTTGGTGTCATTTCTATGAAATTATTTTTTATCAATTCCAATTACAACACATTATGGTCACAATCTAGACTGAGATATCTACCACCATCAAGACACAAATCACCAATAATTCTGACACCCAAACTAAACAGACAGTTCGAAAAAACTATTTCAGGCCAGTATTCCTCATGAACACCACAAGAACTCTTAACCAAATTTTGGCAAATTGAATCCAGCAATATATAAAAATGTAATGAATCATAAAAGTGGGGTTATCTCAGTAAGGTAACTTTTGCTTACCAATTAAAAAAAAAAATCAAGCAATCTAAATCACCACATTCATGAGTTAAAAAAAAATACAACCATCACAGAGATGTAGGGAAAGTAATTAACAAAATCCAGCATTCATTTAGGAGAAAAAAATTTCAGCCATCTAGAAACAGAGGAAACTTCCTCAATCAGATAAATGCCACTTGTGAGGAAACTAGAAATAGCATTACACTTAAAGCGAGAAGCCTGAAATGACTCCCACACACACCATAAACAGGAGCAAAGCAAGAATATTTTTCTCCCTACTTCTATTCAATACTGTACTAGATCTTCTAGCCAATGCAATAATGCAAGAAACAGAAACGAACAGCACCCAGAATGGACATAAAGAGGCATTCACAGACAAGTTTACCTATATAGAAAATCTAATACAATTTTCATAAAAACTTAATTGAATTTAGTGTACAAAATTAATATACAAGTGAATTGTAGTTCTATGTACTTTCAAACTAGAAACTAAAAATATCATAAAAAATGTGAAGTAATTATAAATTTGATAAAAGATTAATGACGTATATATTAAAAACTGTAAATCATTGCTGGGAACAATTTAAAAGACCTAAATAAAGGTATTCATACAGTGGAAAAGTTAATATTGGTAATACATCAATTCTCCTCAAGCAAATTTTAACAATCAATTGTAATTCCAGTAAAAACCCATCAAGCCTTTCTGAAAAATTACAATGATGATTCTAAAATTCAAAAGCCACAAGGTGATGTAGTAGGAAAAGAAGTTATTTCAACAAATGGTGCTGCAACAGTTGCACATTAGATCAATGCTTCACACAATGTACAAATCCTAACTTAAACACACATATACACACAAATCCAAATCTTAAACCTAAAACTATAAAGCTTATAGGAGAAAACTTTTGTAACCTGGGACTAGGCAAAGATATCATAAGTATAACACCGAAAGGATGGTATAAACTTAAAAAACAAAACAAAACACAGACACATATGTATCTTCAAAAGACAAGAACAAAAAAGTGACAGACTGAAAGAATAAATATAATCCACATTTAAACATCCATATGCAAAAAAAAAATTGTTTTCATGTAAAAACAGACCTTAATCTGGTCACAAAAATTAGCTCAAAATGGATCACAGACCTAAATGTAAAATGTTAAGTCCTAGAAGAAAACATAGGTGAGATCTAGATAAACTGGGGGTTGGCAATGACCTTTTTGACACACCACCAGACATTATCCAAAAAAGAACAACCCAATAAGCAGAACTGTAATAAAATTTAGAACACTTCCTCTGTGAAATATGTCAAGAAAATAAGAAGCCAAGTGACAGACTGGGAGCAAATATTTGCAAAAACCACATCAGATAAAGGACTGTTAAAATAAAGAACTCAAAGCTTAAAAATAAAAAGGGGGGCTGAGGTTGTGGCTCAGTAGAGAGCGCTCGCCTAGCATGCATGAGGTGCTGGGTTCAATCCTCAGCACCATGTAAAAAATAAATAAAGTGAAGGTATTGTGACCAACTACAACTAACTTAACTAAATAAATAAAAATTAAAAAGGAACAATACCATTAAAATGGGCAAAACTCCTGAAAAGACACTTCACCAGACAGATGGCTAATAATCATGAGAGAATATATTCTCAAGAAAAAGTAATATGGGTGGGTTCTTATAAAACGAAATATTCTAACCACATGAATCTACACAAATACCTGTACACAAGCAGAAGCTTTATTCATAAATGTTAAAACCTGGAAGCAACCAAGATGTACTTTCGTAGATGAATGGATAAACTGTGGTACACTCAGACAATAAAATATTATTCAGCACTTAAAAGAAATGAGCTATCAATCCCTGGAGGAAATTTGTATATTATCAAGTGAAAGAAGCCCATCATACAGTATATAAAACACTATACTCCATGATTTCAACCCTAAAACATTCTGAAAAGGGTAAAATTATGGAGATAGTAAAAAGATTAATGATTGACACGGGTTCAGGAGGAAGAAAATGAATAGGCAAAGCATAGAGGATTTTTAAAGCAGTGATTTATAATAGTATCTGTATGATACTATAATGGTGAATAACTGTTATTATGTATTTCTCTAAACCATAAAATGTATCATCAAGAATGAACCCTAATGTAAACTACTGACTCTGGATGGTAATGATATGGTAATATAAGTTCATTAGCTGTAACAAATGCTATCACTTTGGTGGGGGATGTTGTTTATTATTTATACTGTACCTTCTTTGGCTGTGACAGTAAAACTGTTCTGAAAAATAAAATATATTTAAAAAAAAAAATACTGGGCTGGGGATAGAGCTGGTAGAGTGCTTGCCTTGCATACACAAGGGCCTCGGTTCAATCCCCAGTACCACAAAAAACAAAAACGAAACAACAAAAACAATAACAAAAAGCCCACTAAATAGTAATGGAAAAAAACAGTAAAGAAATAGAAATTAATATCACAGTGAGATACCACTAAACATCTAAAATTAAAATGACCGTATTCCAAGTGTTGGTTAGGATATGTAGCAAGTGCGGCTTCTATCTCTTCTGGCGATATCCAACTATAAAATGGTCCAACCACCTTGGAAAACAAGTAGGTGGGTTCATAAAGTTAATTATAACCCTACCACACAATGAAGACATTTTACTCCCAGATACTGACCCAAGAGTAAGGGAAGCACATGTTCATACAGTTTTACACAAATATTCAGAGCAACTGTACTTATACTAGTCAAAATGTGGCAATAACCTAAATATCTTACAATGAGGGGTGAATAAACCAATTGTCAATTCCGGTTCAATGGAATACTGATCAGCAATAAAAAGCAATGACCTACTGATACACTCAACTACAAAACAATTATGCCGAGTAAATAAAGCCAGCCATTGCTCCTCAAAAAAAAAAAAAAAAAAAAAAAAAAAAATTACATAATAGATTCCATTAAAATGCAAACTAATCTGGGGCTGGGGCTCAGTGGTAGAATGCTCGCCCGGCACACGTGAGGCACTGGGTTCACACCTTAGCACCACATAAAAAACAAAGTAAAGGTATTGTGTCCACCTACATCTAAAAAAATACATATTAAAAAAAAAATGCAAACAAATCTATAGAACACAACCAGAGAGCACCTAGTGAGGGGATGGAGGAAACCTCTGGTAAGTCATGGAGATACAATAGTGATAATTTCATGGGTATACAAATGTCAAAACTTATCAAACGTACACTTAAACATGTGTAATTTATGGTATGTAAATTCTACTCCATAAAACGACAATAAAAGAAATACTAGTGAAACCCTCAGTGCCTCTCCCTTCCCTAATTCATTTGCCCCTATAACATTTTACAGTGAATTAAAAGTTTCATTCTTATTCAGGCTTTTATACAATTAACATGTGCAACTGAATCCATGGAAAAAGAGTTCTGTTTTACACATACCCAATATTTATACGCTTGATTTCATCTTGTAAATATTTGGAAATATGCCTTTAATCACATTATGGATTTAAAATTTTATTCTTCTTGAAAACATGTAGTTCCAACTCCCCTTTTAGTTCTAACACATAACACAGGAACAGAATACAATGTTGTTTCTTCTGATGACAAGTATTTTGGTGTTTTTTTCAAATAGACAATTTTAATCAAAATGAGTTTGTAAAACAAAACATTTGAAGCAAATACACTGTGATATGTACTATGTGTATTATGACACAGAAATAGTTTGGAAATTAGTTTATCTAAATAATCAACAACAGTTTTACATTACTCAAATTTAAATGAAATAATTTTAAAGTGTCCACTGTATATCTGACTCTGTTAAATATCTTGAGGATGGCAATAAGATTTAGATATAAGATGAAAAAAGCCTCTGAGGGCTTATTTATGTCACCCTCTTTAGAACTACAATGGATATAATGTGCTAACTATATTCTGATCACATAGATTATATGTGTACATTTCTTTCTGTTCAAAAACTGAATGAAAAAGAACAATAGATAATAAAGTGCTAAACTGAAATGGATAAAAAGTAACATTACAACTGTAAAATTATCTTCAGAGGGGCAGCAAAGTTTGCATTGTATGCCAAAGAGGAATAATTAAATATGGGATACCTAAGAATAATCAAAAGACTTAACCGAGTACAGACAAGTACAAGAAAGTTATTGGCCTTGTAAAGTAGATTAAAAATTGGATTTCTATTCTAAATGGCAAAAGTGGGAAATAAAACATTACCATATTGACAATCAGAACTCACAGTTAATGGTAATAATGTTAGCCAATTTCTTCACTTTTTATAAAGCAACAGAAAAACAGAAAACAAAACTTTTATTTGTGACTAGAAAATCAAATTACAAGTTCAAAGGTTAAGATGTTCATCTTTTTACACTATTGTAAAGTCAAACTCACACAAGAAAAAAATATGTACACCGACTGTGTCTTCAGTACACAGGGACAGGGACAAGGTGGAAACAATTGCCTCTACAGAAGTGTAAGTAATGAAAAGGCATTTGAATAGTGAGAGAAACAAAGCTTTAATTCAGGCATAGCAATGTCCAATCATTCAAAGATATGTATGCAGTGGCGGGAGAGGAGTTACACACAGTTCACACTGTGAAGGACACCCACCAAGTTGAGTCTAATGAGGGAAACTATAGAAGTCATTCACCTGGTATTTGTAGCTACAGTATAAAATGTGAATTTCCATAATTAACCCAATTCAAAAAGGAGCTCAAAATATCACACACTTAATAGAAAAGGAATCTGCCTTTGGACAGGAGGCACCACCAGGGGTCCGGAAACTCAGGGAACATAGGGGAAGTGGTGTTCTCTTATGATTTCAGCCATGCATTCATTCAAAACTGATTGAGTATACATTTTGAATATGCACACTCCAAGTCACTTATACCTACATAAAGGCTGTCTTTCTTCTTTTAAAAAATAAAACAGGCTGTAGAAGCTTAAGTGTGCAAAGCAAACTAGAACACAACCTGCAATTTGGTACAACAGGCCAATACTGAATATCTACATTTCCTGAAATTCCTGTAATTCACTGATGTAATGTTTACACATTTGATGCTGCCAAATTTGGGTGGGGGGGGACTTTATTCACAATATACTTTTAAGGAAAAATGCTACAATGTTTCATCAAAACTTAAACAAGGAACTTAAGGAAGTTGAAATTTGAAAGAAACTCTTTTTGTGGCAAAAATGCTAATTAAAATGTATTTTACTTTAAGTCCTTTGTTTTCATGAATGTAACAGCTGTCTTTATAATCTCCATTTAAAAAAATTCATTTTCTCCTGCAGATGACAAATAAGCAGACTGAGATTTCGTTATGAATTCAGTGTTCCCATTATTGGGACCAGTCATAAAGGAATGAAAGGCTAAGGAGTATTTGATTTCCCAACAAGTACCATTTGGTGGCTGGTAGATGTAAAGAGTCCCCGATAAGACAAATGGTGTAAAAACAAGTGTTATTCATTTCAAATTGTCATTTACTTACATCTTAGCACTTCAACAATTAAATCCACATCAGTACTGAGTTTTTTGATATGGTCAAGGTTAGCTACCGTTGTAATTGGCACATATTGATCACTATCCATCTGCGATATGAGATACATGTCACTAGCAAGATTCTCCCTGTTGAAAGAAAACAATCTCTTTTAATTGATATTTCTTTAAAAAGAAGTTTCATCTAGTGCATTATCAGTTTCACAAGATGTATGAATGTGGCATGGTATGACTTTGGGGTTAGATCTGGGCCTCCTATCTGTTATTTGCTCTTTCTCTGTCCATAGGTTTATTTTTTCCAAGACACCTGGAGAGGTAGAGCAAAAGTAAAATATACTGCACTTTATCCAATCAAAATTAACGAGTAGATAATTATTCTTAAAATGTAGTTATGGCTTATCTTTGTTCTAAATAGCTTTAATAATTTATTAAAAATACACACAGAAGTCTTTTTTTCTTCTTACGGTAAGAAAATCTAGCTGAATGAACAAGGAAATATATATATATATATATGCCAAGATAAAGTCAGTACCCAAAATGCATGCTATAAAATCTGGATACTTGCTAGAGAAGCTGCAAATCCGGCTCTGGCTTCCTAGCAGCCAGAATTATAAGGAAGAAAACAGGATCAGTATAACTTCATGCACAAGGTCAAAAGGTAAGCCACAAATAATCAGCAGTTCAGGTCAAGATGAGCGACTTCCTAGTATTTTGGTCAAAGCTAAATGTTTCCTGTGAATTCGCAGGAAACAGACAATGTGTGATATAATGAGCAAGGCCCTCAAAAACACCTCATAACTGAAACACAATAATGGGTTTCATAGGACTCTTCTTACAATGTCCCTTGTGAGGGAAATACCCTTCTATCACTCATCTCACCTAGCTACTGCACAAATGTGGGTGATTCTAGATTCATGAGGGCTAGATAAAGGTTTGTGAGTAGAAGAGACATAGGTTTTTCAACTTTTACCCCATCTTTTGTTCATAAATTATGCCACTATGCAATATACTCAATGCTCCTAATTTGTGATAAAATGGAAGTGGTAGGAAAGCCCAGCACGTTCCCTCCCTCCCTCAATCTCATATAATCCCGCTATCTTTGAGTGCCCCTTTATCAGACAACTCCATGGGTTCCTCAGGGCTTGAGAGAACACTTGAAAAACCAAACTGAAAGAAAGCGTTACACATGACCAATCAGTTATCTCATACTCAAATCCTTTACATCTAGTTTTGGCATTTGAACTTTAAAAGACGCTATTATGTTTCACTATGAAAGGTATTATTTGGAGGGGGAACCCACAAAAGTAAACATGAGTGCTATGTAAATAACAATTTGTTATTGCAGTGTCTGGCACAGTCTAAGTGACAACATAGGAAATTTGCCCAAACTTCACTGAGGCTCAAGATTCTAAGACTACCTGAGACTTTGATGCAGTGGCATGGGGGCAAGGGAGGAGCAGGTAGGGAGTCAAGGAATCTTTATTTCAAATAGCTATCAAGATGAATTTGAGGCTCCAACTATGGGGACCACTGACCTGAAGATTATGATCAATTACCTAACATGCCAAAAGCCTATTTACTCATTATTCTAGATATCTAATTCACACAGAGTATTCACACACACCTTTTAGTATATACATAGTCTTCTATGTAAAATCACATTTATAGATAATAAATAATACATACCAACAGGGATATTCAGTACTAGAAAAACCAGTCTTACCTAGATAAGCAGAATTCCAATGTTTTTTTAAGTACTTCCCGGGGGTCTTCCTGGCTTTCTGGTTGAGACTCATTTCCTCCTATATAAAAGTAATGATCAACTCAGGAAAAATAGCTTAAAATTTTCCAAGCAGATAATTCAGTATGGCAGTTCTAGTACTTTCAATATACATATTTACACACTTGTACCCATGCATGAAGTAAAGAACACTTCTATTATTTTACCTATTAGAAAAGGGTAAATCGTGTAAACAAAACAGTCTCCCTCTCTTCCCTCTAAATCAAAAACATCACAGTTTAAGGATTAAATAGCTTCTACACTAGAGCATTAAATTTGCCTTTAAATTTCCAGATAGTCAAAGCAATAAGTGAGAAACTGTCATGTTCTTGTCAGATGATACTAAACAAATCAGACACTCAAAGGACATAAAAGTTCATTCTAAATCCCAGAACAAGTTGCTTATGAGAAGGTGTCAGCCAGTATGACAGGTGACTTATGTGTGTATGGTTGTAGACAACACCAGGCATTCTACCAAAGTGAACCCAGATTTAAGCCAAGACACTCCACCACCACCCGCAACACTCTGGACACAGGTTGTTTCAATAATGTTGAGATGAAAAGAACTGGAGTGCTAAAACACTAAGATTTTTCATGTGCTGCCATATAAATCAGCCTGGTTAATTTATGTGTCAATCATATATGTGATTATGTTCCAACCATATATGTGCAAGAATAACATAAGAGACATTGGTAATTTGAAAGTCAAAATTAAAGATCATGAAAAAGAAAAAATAAAGCGGGGGCATTTAGAACAAACAGGGACAGAAAGTTCAGGTCACTATTATATAATGAGGTTTAACAAAATCCACTCTCACTAGCAAAAAGAAAACAAAACTGTTAAAACAACCAAAAGCAAAATAAAGGAAACCACAAGACATGAAAATGAAAACTAAAAATAACCTATCATTCCCTCATTCAGAGGCTTCTCCTGGTCATTCCATTTAAATTCACATCCCATCCTCCATATTTAAGAGATACTTACTAAGTATCTCCTGCATACTGGGATCTGTTGCAGGAACTGTGAATTCAGTCCAAATTAGGCAAGGCCTCTGCTTGTGTAAGGCCAACATTCCAGAGGGAGAGACAGACAATAGGTAGTTAAATAAATAACTACCCAACATAATGTGAGATAGAAACCCACAGAGAGGAAAACAAACCAGGATAAGAGGCCAGAGCTGCATGATGCTGTTCTAGATGGGAAGTGACATCTGATCTGATGGGAAGGATGTGGAGTATGCCAGGCAGTGGAAAGTGAGTTCTAAACTGGGCAGGTACAGGGACCTTAGAGGGATAGAGTCAACAGATAGTAAGGAGGCAGGGGTAACTGAGAAGCAGAGTGAGAGAACCTGGTAAGTGAGGTCACAAAGTTGAGCACCTATGAATCAGATCAAGAAGGATGTCAGAATTTAATAAGACACCAATTCAGAGCTGACATTTTTTAATTAATTATTTACCATCTTCCTGCCCCCATGCTCCCTCCTAACCCTGCATGCCCTTTGCCCAATCACAAATCCTCTATTTTTCCCATGCCCCCCCCCCCCCCCCCACCCCCGCCCCCCCTTTCCCCCACCAAACATCCTCTTTTTTTTCCCCCCCCCCCCCCCCCCCATTGAGGATCAGCATCCATTTATCAGAGAGAACATTTGGCCTTTGGTTTTTGGGGATTGGCTTACTTCACTCAGCATAATATTTTCCAATTCCATTCATTTACCTGCAAATGCTATGATTTTATTCTCTTTTAATGCTGATAAATACTCCATTGTGTATATGTACCACAGTTTCTTATTCATTCATCTATTGAAGGGCATCTAGGTTGCTTCTATAGTTATTATGAATTGAACTGATATAAACATTGATGTGGCTGCATAACTATTACTATTTGTTGTTTTTAAGTCCTTTGGGTATAGACTGAGGAGTGGGATAGCTGGGTCAAATGGTGGTCAGAACTGACATTTTGGAAAGACCTCTCTGGTTTGATGGCACATATTGACTGTGAAAGGTACAAGGGGGAAAAGGGGGACCAGTTGGGAGGCTAACACAATAATCAAGGAGACAACACCATTTAGGATTCAAAATACAGATAATACTGAAGCCAAGAGTGGAACAGAGAAGAGTACCAGCCTCTAGACCCAGGGCACTCCAACATCCAGTGGGAAGTAAGAAGAGGAAGGCCAACAGACACAGAGAAGCAACCCGAAAGTCAAGAATAGTATCAGCAGAACAGCAAGTCGAGAGCTGAGAGGAGAGAAAAAAATCGTTTCACATGAAGGATCTGCAGCTATAAAAAGGACACAGTAATGTCAGGTAAGTATATAGTGAGAATTAACTACTGGAACTGACCATTCCAGGGTCATTAAAAGAGCCTGACAAATGCAATTTGGGGGCTGAAAAGACAACTGTCTGCCTGAAGGAACTACCTAGGAGATAAAGATGTGGGGGCAGCCAGCAGAGAAAACTGTTTTGAAGCATCCTGCTGGGGGAAGATGGGCTGTCAGGGTGGTTTCACTTAAGATAAGTGATGAAACTGCATTACAATGATAGGAAATGATCCAGCAATAAAGAAATCCATGACTCTGTAGACAAAACAAAGCAGTTTGTGATAATGTAGAAAAGGAGGGCTCACTTGAGAGATTGCTAGGTTGGGTGGTGTCAGTAGACACCAGGTCATCTGCTTCCAGAGACTGGATTTATTTTCCTTTTAAAAACAACAATGATAACAACAAAACAAATAAAATTTTCTAGAGAGGGGACATCAGGCAACAAAGGACATGAAACCCTGAGCACCATGAATACGTGCATTAACCTTCTGGTGACCTTAACCCGCTACCTTGAGGGAAGAACTAGACCAAACAGAACATCAACAGATGAGAACTATAATATCTGATATTAGAAATACTTGAAATTAAGAGATCAGACATTGTAGAAGACTAGTAAACTTGAAGACTCAGCAATAGGAACTTCTCAAAATAAATGACAATTTTTATAATGGACAGAGGGGGCAATATAAGAAAGAAATTGTGGGATAATTTAAAGTAGCTTAATTTAACAAGAGACAATGTTACAAAATGCTCAAAGCCACTGATAAAGAGAAATGGTAACTACACACGTAGACATGTAAGCTTTTTATCTTAGTATTGTAAGATGGAACAGTGAAAAAAGCACCAAAGCAAGGTGGTTCCTCTGTTTCATGTAAAGTGGTACACACTGGCCTGAAGTTAGACTCTGTTAACTGACAGAGTATAAACACCAACCAAAGAAACCACTCAAACAACAAACTGAAGTAAAAGAAGCCTAATCCAGTCAGGCGAGATAATTCCTCCACTGCAATCCCATGGATTTAGGAGGCTGAGGCAGGAGGATTTCAAACTCAAATCCAGCCTCAGCAACTTAGCAAGACCCCAAAATAAAAAGGGGCTGGGGATGTGGCTCAATGGTTAACTACCTCAGAATTCAATTCCTGGTTCAAACAACAACAAAAGCAGCAGCCTATCTAATGGAAAGGGGAAATGAAGAAAAAAGAATAAATGAGACAAAAAGAGAACGTGCCTGGAGCCCAGGAGGGTATGGGTTCTAATGTCATTCTCCAATACAAGGAACTAGGGATCCTTGGAGAAATTGCTGATTGTAGGAAGAAAAAAAAAAAGGCAAAACAAAAAGTCCTACACTGACAGGAATAGGTCATATGGAACCAACTAAGAGTTTCCCAAAGGCCAAAGCCAGAACAACTTGAGCAATAAAATACTACTGGATAATTACCCAAGTACAGAGTAAGCATTCCTGAGCCCATACTGATACAAGTAAATAGATGTATATAAGTTAATAAAGAAGAGACAAATCACTCATGTACAAGAATTTCAAACAATTTAATTGGACTCTGCTTTTATAGAAGACCATAAATTCCTTAAGTTTTCTCTATGCAGAGAAACTTCCACCCTAACAATAGAATATAGAAACAAAGAGAAACCAAAGGGTAGCTTTACAGTTCAGAAATCTGACAAATGCTACTTCAGTCAGGTGATCAAGGTCTGAACAGACATGAGTCCCTTTGATAGTGTGTACCCTTGATATAATGAAAATGGTGCTTTACCTCTGTGGTCCTCCTCCCTAGTCCAAATACAAACATTATGATGAGAAAAGCATTAGAAAAATTCCAACAGAAGAGTATCCTACAAGACACTTGACAGTACTCAAACCCTTCAAGACTGCCAAAAACATGGGAAAGTTTGAGAACTGTTAAGGCCAAGAGAAGCCTAAGGAAGTGTTCTAACTAAATATAAATGGTATCCTAGATAGGATTCTGATACAGAAAAAAGATATCAGGGTAACAGGTATCGCTCCTGGTTTAGTATTGGTGACAAATATATCATATTAATGTAAAATGTTGATGGGAAAAACTAGATTTGAGGTAGTCTGTCCTGGGGGGCACACACTAATTAAGATGAACAGAATGCTTAATGTCTTAATTTAAAATGGTGCCTTTCCCCCTTTCTCCTGCCAAAAACACAAGATCCCCTCCCTCATACTCACTAATGATCTGGATGACTTCAGGAAGTAAAAATTCATAAAAATTATGGGAACTCATTCTGACCGAGCCCCTAAGTGGTCTTCAATTCAGTCTTGTCCACCCCGTGGCTCTAGCAACTCATCGGTTATAATTCATGTTTTCCTACTTTGGCTCAAGTTCCTGCAGAGGTTTCTGCTCAGTAAGTTGTTGATTCTATTCACCTCTCTGTCTTTTTCAACTTTGTAGGCAGTTGGTTTACCCTGTGAGCACACATTTCTTCTAATAAGAGCTGTGTTTTTTTTCCCTTAGCTTCTTCACTTGTTAGGACAGAACAGTGACTTTCAAGCTCCTCCTATAGAACACAAAGTTCAAACATGCTTGCATATGCCTGTGTTTTTGGTGCTGTCTATTTGTTCATTTTATTATTGGGTTATTTTCCTGAATTTTATCAGTTTATGTTTTGGATAAAAACCCTTATCAGATCTGTGATTTACAAATAGAGTCTCCTAATCTAT